TTGGGAAAGTACCTACAAAAGTAAAGTAAACTAAAATCAGTCTAAAACTGGATAAAAGTACTACTTAAGGACTTAACATATACATGTTTAGAGACTCGAATATATAATATTTATTGTTCATCAATAGCCATCTACTCTTGAAAGAGACCTAGAAGACTTGGGAAAGGCTTGTATAGTTATATTCACTATTGCCATTATTGATTGAAAGAAGCAGGCCCCACTCATGAACCGTCTTGAAAAGGAAAGGATAATTTATAAAGACCTCTCTTATGGTTTGTCATAATTACAGGGATTTCTCCTCCTGTTTCGAAAATTATTCGGACCTCCCCTACAAATGAAACTAAACTACACGTACCTCCCTTCTGTTAAAGTCAACGTCATTGATTGACGAATTGTGCTGATGTCATGCACTTAATTTTTAAATTTGTTTTGTTGGTCTTTTCCCTTTCACTCCAATTGAATGCCTTAATGGATCATTGATTTTTAATTATATTTGATTTTTTATCGAAACTACAAAATGAAAAAAAAAAGTTTTTTTTATTTTTTGGAGTGTTTTTACGATTTTTTCCTCTTTTAATGATGGGTTTTTATTTTGATTTATTGTGGTTTGGTGCGGCGTTGGCCTATATAGATAGGGATGGCAACGGGGCGGGGTGGGGTGGGGATTCCATTCCCCATCCCCATCCCCGATGCATGTTCATTCCCCATCCCCGCTTAAAATTTTGCCAGAATCCCTATACCCGCCCCCACCCCCGCCACTTTATCCCCATCCCCGCCCCCGCCCCCGGCCTCAAAAAAATTTTTATTAAAAAAAAGCATATTTTTTCTTATATATATATATATATATATATATATAATAAATCTAATTTAGTAATAAATTATTATATGTAAGGGTATATTAGTAATTTCACACTTAATCGGAGCGGAGCGGGGCCGGGCGGGTTTACCTCATCCCCGCCCCTAGCCCCGGCGGGGATTCATAAATTGGCCCCATCCCCATCCCCATTTAGCTAAAAGGATCCCTATCCCCGATATAAACAGGGCGGGGTCCCAGCGGGGATGGAGAATTTGCCATCTCTATATATAGAGAGAGATTTCTGTTTGTTTTTGTGAAAATTTGACTAAATCAGTAGTGTCATCTAATATCAATATTCCAAAGAAGAGGCTGTCCTCATACTCCCATATCTTACGGCAGACAGTCAATATTCTTGGTCACATTAGAAAATGCTATCCACAACCGTGAATGCCCATCGCCAGTACTTGATTTGAACGATCTCAACTATATATATAGAGAGGGAGGGTACTTCAATCATTTATCATAAAAAATTAAGGGTATTTGAGTAATTTTAACAGATCAGTTAGTGTATTTAACGTTTTGTCATACATAAGGGAGGTCCGTGTAAAATATTTTTATTTTTGAAAGAGATCCCCATAATTATGACAAACTATATGAAAGGTTTGTGTAAATTATCCAAATGAAAAATACTCCAAAGTTAATTAGCCATTACCTTCTCCGTATATCAAATTGTCCTTCGGGAAATTGGTAAAGAACAAAGAATTTTAATTTTTGTGATAGCCATCCATTGTTGAAAGAGACCTAGAAGACTTGGGAAAGACTTGTATGGTTCTATTCACTGTTGCCACTACACACGTTTTCATTGTTGAAGGAGGCACAGAAGACTTGGGAAAGACTTATGGACGACTGAACACACTCAAAAAGTTTAATTAGCCACTACCTTCTGCTATATCAACTCGTCATTGTTTTAAGTCCCCTTGTCCAATCCCACCCGTCCATGGACAAAGCTAGTGTTTTTGATGATTGCTTCCTTTATCAATTCTTTTAGCTCATGTAATATACTAATCAGTATTGAAACTTTATACATGGAGGCATATCCCATTTAAATCTTTCTTTCAAGCAAAATGAAAAAATAAAAAATGGAAAAAAGATGAACTTGAATAGTACTGCAGTCAATTAAAATATCAGTACTTAGCCATAACATAATAAATTGGAATGTGAAAATATATATTAAGGATAATAAATCAAATTGCATAAGATATACGGAAAATATCCAAGCGGTTGTGCAAGATAGGGAGGAAAATAAATAAATAAATCAGAGTGTAAGAAAAGAAAAGACTAGAGGAAGAAAATCAACCTTCCTAGTTCCTACAAGCCAATTCCGACTCAGTATTTGCACTTAATAAAATAAACTTCAACAAATTACAAAAGTATAGAAATTTATTTTAAGGTCATAATGCAATGAAACCAATACAAAAAAAAATTATCGAACATATATATATAACTGCTACTTTTTTATACATTGATTGGTTCGATCAATAATCCTACTACTACTTTTCTCTTTAGTATATTTAATTTCCTCCTATTTCAGATATGACCAACAATTGTTCCAAACAAATTTTATCACATTACATGGTGATTAACTCACGAGTTCTGCATGCTGATGATCAAATTTTAGTTGAGTATGTTTGGATGCCCAAGGGGCCTTCACTCTATCATCATTGGTAAAGTACGTATTACCAAAATGACCAATCATCATTAGTTCAGGATTAGTTAAATTTGTTCACAAGGAACGAATTACTTTGAATACATAAAGTAGGTATTTTGAATCTACAAAACAAAAGAAATTCATAAAGAATTATGAAATATTACTGATAAAAGGTTGAATGATTTTACTTTCTCCATTACATATATTTATAATGAAAGAAAATCAAACACTAGAAGGAAACTAATCTTATAAATAATTCAAAAAAATAAATTTTCTCTACAAATTTTCAAAAAATAAAGAAAGAAAAATAATCAAATAAAATTATTAAATATAAAATTTCAAAGCATTCCGGCTTCGATAAGACCTCCAACAAAAATTCTAAACAATAAAACCTAATTTTGAAATAATTAGCATGTCTCTTATAACGCAATAAAACCCAATTTTAAAAATTCTAAACAAAGATTTTCATCTAAAACTAACATGACCCACAAGCAAAAAAAACAAAAAAAAAAAAAAACATAGAGGGTAGTTGGCCTTTGCTCTGTATGCGGTACTCTGACACCACTTTTCAGCTAAAACTAACATGACCCACAAGCGAAAAAAAAAAAAAAAAAAAAAAAAAAAAAAAAAAGGCTAGTTGGTCTTTGCTCTGTATGCGGTACTCTGACACCACTTTTTACTGCTTAACCTTCTCCACATGTTAATGTTTCTCCAGTGGATTACCTTCAATCCTGTGCACATGTTTCAAGTTCCAAGTGTGAAAAGTAAGACCTGAAGTCTCCTCTCTATCTCTCTTAATTCCCAGGAATATGGAACGTACCTACCTAGGGATGACAAATTTTCTATTCTCGCCCCGTCCCCGACCCGCCCCGTTTATAATAGGGATAGGGACCCTTTTATGTAAACGAGAATGAAATGAGAGTAAGTTTTAAAAACCCGCCGGGATTGGGATGGGGTAAACCCGCGCCACCCAGCCCCGATTAAGGGTTAAATTACTAAAAGACTCTTATATTTAATAATTTATTACTAAATTAGATTTAGTATATATATGAAAATAAGAAAAATTATGTTTTTTTAAAAAAGTAATATATGTTAATCGGGCGGGGGATGGGGCGGGGACGGGGATAAGGGGTCGGGGGCGGGGACGAGGATAAGGGGTCGGGTGAAGGACGGGTATGGGAGTGGTGGTAAAATTTTAAGCGCGGATGGAAAATGAGATCCCCAACTCGGGCCGCCCCGCCCCATTGCCATCCCTATACCCACCACGTTTGAAAACACTACTGTTGGCCCAGCTCGTACGATTGGGCCAAGGACATATGCGCAAGTGCTGATGACCTACGAGAAGTTGGGTCAGCTGAAGAAACCATGACGAGGGCGTCACGGAAATGGGTGGGGGAGAATGTCACGCCCCACCTATAGAGGTTATGCCATGCAGGCGACACGCAAACGCTGAGGACGACGCTGTGAGGAGGACGCTGTATGACGAGTGAAGTTTCTAGAGTCTTCCAGAGTTGTCTAGAGTTGTGTGGAAGATTCTAGATATGTGTAGTATATTCTAATGTTTTCCAAAATTGTGTGAAATAGTATGGAGAGTTCTAGAATGTTGGAAATACTTGTGGATAAGTATGGTAGTGTGAAGAATGTGGGAGAAGATTCTAAAGAATCGATCTCCACCGGAATTCACTAAATTTTGAATTATTTTATTTTTAAATTCATTTCCATTCTGATGTGGACTTAGCTTTTATATATGGGCTCCACTAAATTCCAATGTATCAAATAGTAGATATGATTCCTATATTGAAGAAACACAATAATCATACAACTAATAGGTTGTATCTAACAATTACTCAATCTACCCCAATTTTTTTTTTTTACAAAGGTATTGATCTATATTCCTCCAAGTTTCATAGCATATATGCACAAAACTCCTACGCTGTAATGACCCTATCATTTTCTTCCTTTTCCGACGATTTTCTTTTTCCGTTATTTATTTGTTTATTGTTCCTTTTTGTGTAACCTTAGGGTTGTGTTCGGATTTGATTTCCGACTTCACATGCATTCATTCCATTTGGTTTCCACGAAATGCGTAACTTTACTTTTGCATAAAAACATGCTACTTGTTTACTTTTTTTGTAGAGGTATGGATGCATAGTTTCTCCAAAAACATTTTCGCTTTACATAGTATGACAAGTGTCGCACTCTCATTAATCCACTTGTAGGCTTTGTAATGGAGACACTTGGAAGCCTCAGATGATAACATGTGGAGGGTGAGGATTCACCCACTTGTTGGCCTTGGATTGGGACACTTGGTGGCTTGTGATGTTAACAAGTGTAGGACTTAGATTAGGCCTTGTGAGGAGGCTTAAGATTGTGACAAATGTAGGCCTTAAATTTAATCTAGTGAGGAGGCTTAACTTGGTGACAAGTGGAGGGAGTGGATGTGTTTGTGTGTGTGAGGGGTAGTGCTAGCTAGCATAATGTTAGTGTGTGTGGGTATAGCTTTGAGTTAGTGGAGGAATACACATTTTCCCACTATCTTCTTTTCTTCCTCACTTTCCTCTCTAGCCACCATTGTTAACCCTTGCTTTGACCTTGCATTTCCACCAACTTCCCCTCACTTTCTCACCTCACCATTAAAGAGTCTTTGGTTATATATTAATTTCAATACCATCTCTTTAAATCGTCACCTTCTCTAAACGAAAGAGTAGTACTGTATGTGTGGAAAGAAGTAATAAGCCTTGTAAACCAAGCGTCCATGGAGGGAAGAGAGGGAGTGATGATGAGAGAGAAAAGGCTTTATGAAGCATCCTTGAGTGGGGATGTTGAGTCCTTGAATCAGTTACTAGAAGAAGACAAACTTGCTCTTGCCCGAGTTTCACTCACTTGCTTCAACGAGACTCCTCTTCACGTAGCCTCCATGCTGGGTCACCTGGAATTTGCAAAGGCTATTCTCAGTCACAAGCCAGACCTGGTCACCAAGTTGGACTCACAGCGCCGTTCGCCTCTTCACTTGGCCTCTGCAAATGGGTATGTTGAGATGGTGAAGATTTTGTTACGTGTGGACACCAGTATGTGTCTTGCTCACGATGTAGATGGAAGAACTCCTCTTCATGTAGCTGCTATGAAAGGCGAAATTGACGTTCTGAATGAGTTGGCTCAGGTGAACAAGGAAGTGATCAAGTACACCTTCGACAGGGGAGAGACTATTCTGCACTTGTGTGTGATATATAATCGTTTCGAAGCTCTAAAGCGATTACTGGAGTTGTGTCCAGATGATGATCTTGTGAATGCCAAAGATGAGCATGGCAACACCATTTTGCACACAGCTACTTCCCTCAAGCAGATGGAGGTTAATTTATGCATTTATATATTTGTATTTTTGAAGTACGTTATCGTTTTTCCTTACAATTCTGTTGTATGATGACTCTTCTAATTGATTTTTACAATTCTGTGTAGACTATCAAATATCTGCTTAATAGAAATGGGGTTAGAGTGAATGTAGTGAATGCAAATGCATTCACTGCTTTGGATATCACAAATCATATCCCGAAAGATTTAAAATCCATGGAAATCCGTGATCTGCTTATTGAAGCCGGTGCTCAGAGAGGCAGAGATGTACCTGCACCACCGCCACAAAGTACTGTTAAGCTGCCAGTGGCACGGCCGCGCTCAAGAGGCAACAGGCACTTGGTGAAGAAGCAGGACATGATTAATTGGTTGGAGAAAAGGCGTGATTCTCTCATGGTAGCTTCAACTGTGATTGCAGCCATGGCTTATCAGGCCGGGGTTAACCCTCCTAGCGGTGTTTGGCAAGAGGATAAAGAAGGATATCATAAGGCTGGAACATCCATTTTGGCTTCTAGACTTCCAAAGTGGTACCTATTATTTTGGGTTTGTAACACAGCGTCTTTTGTTGCTTCTCTAAGCACAATGTTTTTGCTTATAAGTGGGATACCTTTGAAGAAAAGATTTATCATGTGGATTCTAATGGCTACAATGTGGGTGACAATGACGTTCATGGCACTCACCTACTTAGCTTCAATGTTTGCCACTTTGTCTGACGACCACCCCGAAAAGTGGACGGCGATGGCTTATATTGTTATAATATCGGTGCTGGTTTGGTTGGCACTAATTGCAATTGTTTTCATCATACACACTTACCGCATCCTAAAAAGGATCGTCATAAAGTGTTGCGGTCTTTGTCGGAGGAATGGAAATGAGGTTGCAGGACAAAATGTTTGAGTGCCATCGATCCTGATCATCAGTTGGCCAGAGCCAACAAGTTCAACAACAATTATAAGATTCTGCAGCCTCAACTGATATCATTCCTTCATAATGTCTGAATGCTGTGCTATCTATTACAACATATATGTAATTTGCTAGTCAACTTGCTACTCATCATAGCTATGTAATCCCTTTTTTTGGAAGGTACATCTGTCTTGTATCTCGGTTTGTAGCGCACTGATGTTTTAACTGTCTCTGTGACTGGTTATTAGCTAGCGTGAAATAAGTCATTTGCTTTATTTTTCTTACTAGAAAATGCCTTGTGCTTAATTTCTTGCATACTTGGAAATCCTCGGACTGCCGCAACTCATTTTGTCTTCAAAAGAAATTGATTTTTATTGGATTGGAAGCTTTTTAAAGAAATTCATTCTACCTTCAATGTCCTCGTGACCAAATCCTTCCAATTTCAGTGAATTCGAGCCCTATGTCTATATACCCTATAAAAGTATTTTTATTTTTTTATTTTTTATATATATTTTTAAAATTATTTTTTTAATTTACAAAAATATTATACGGAGAGTTTTTTTTTTCTATCTTTTTTTTTTTTCCAAATATTTCATGTTTTAAATAATTTTTAAATTTTAATTTAAATCAATTTTTTACTTTAGATTCTGAATTTCTTTATCAAAAAATCAACTTTAATTATATACCATACCTTGAAAAAAATGGTACCTGTAATTTTCAAAAAGCATCAACAGTTAGGATGCTTCTCTAATCTTATATTTCGCTTATATATACCTACGAGTCATATTATCTCTGGAAAAAAAACTCTTTCATGTTATCTTCTTCTTTGCAAAAACCTTTTTTTATTTTCAGACCTACAACGTAAGTGCACTATACTTTGTACAATTCTTCTTTCTTCTAAAAACTTTTTTATGTCTCCCAGTATTTTATATATATATATATAATTGTGACATATACATCTTTTCGAACCTGAAATTGCATAACTTTTTTTTCCAATTGTCGGATTCGAACACGTTTGAAATACGGTCAAACACGTGTGCGACAGAATTAGAATTGTCTTGAAATTTATTTTTATTTTTTTATGTGAACACCAGGTGGACATTACTGGAATACAACAGCAAAATGTTAGCAAAATGTTGGCACACATTTTAGAACATGACGGATATTTTAGAAAAAGGTTACAATGTAATTTTATAATGTATTATAAATTAATTAAAAATAAAAAAAATCACATAATCCCCCTCTATTATTATTTTCGTGCAAAAAACTCCCACCATAAACCCGTGACCGACCCGTTTATTCGGTTGTGAAATGACAAAATTAACCTTATAATTTAATATTAAATTTAAAACAGATAATTATAAATTTTAAATTACAAAAATACCCTTATTAAGTGGATCTTCTTCCTCTCACACTCTGAGTCAACTCAATTCCTCCTGATTTGCCTGAAGAGAGAACGGAGATGGCGAGCTCGAAACGGCCGATTTGCTTAAAGAGAGGCGACCACTATATTGATGACACGTTGACACCTTATCAATCCTCCTCTATTACCATTTGTTGGATAAGCCCAAGCAAAGTAAAAAAAAAAATATCATATATATATATATATATATATATATAGCGAATGTATGGAACTCTGTTACAGATGAATCACTGCAGAAATAGAGTTCTCAGCTTGAATATGTATAAGATAATGAAGTTTTGCTGTTTTCTGATGATGCTTCTTCAGAAGCTGAATTTCATTATTCACCCCTTTCATCGAAAAACCATTCTTGCGAGCCCAACTTTCTTCCTAGAGAGAACCTTCTTAAGTTGAATCGAAGATCTATAATCAAAGCTAACACGAAATAATGTCCCTGTTCAAGAGAGAGAGAACATCAAAGTCCAGAGCTTTAATAGTCGACAATGATTTAATTAAGGTTTGCTCCTTCCGTCCTAAAATAATTATCCATCTTTTCATTTTGAAATATCTCAAAAAAATACGATTTATTTCAAAATTGAATGTATTATTTTTTTTAACATTCTCAAATTATTTTTTTAACTTAACAACTGTAATAATTACAAAGCATTATTTTGTCTTTTAGTAAGAATATATTTGAAACTTCAACCTTATCAATATAATAAAAAACTATTAAAACTTTACTATCATAAAAAGTGGCCTTTCTTGTACAAGATATGCATAGTGGGACATAGGGAGTATTTCATGATTATCCTAGTTTGTGCATATGGAAAAATCAGTTTTTCTTGCAACCATGGCCGTTATTAAAGTTGGTGAAAACAGAGCAACAAGGTGGAGTGATTGGTGCCGAAATCGACTGGAAATCAATCTCCGACCAAATTCCGGCTTACATCGTCTCCCTTGCTATCCGCAGAATTTTTGACCTTTTTCGAAAACCAATTAACAATCGCACAGCGGCACACCGTTCGCAAAATTGAAGGAATAAACAATACAATATATATACACACACACACATAGAGATAAACTATTGAGAGAGAATCATGTAAGTTGAGATCTCGTATATATACATATATAGAGATAGTAGAGAAGACTTGTACCCGCCTCTCTCTCTAAAAATACCCATGAAAAAAAATACCCACGAAAAGAAATGCAATGAATCGACAAGTCACAAACCCAGCCCCCTCTCTGCCAAGCTCTGCCGTGACCCATCCACGGACGACCTCTTCTTCGCCGCCAACCCACAATCCTCATCCATCAACGAGGACGAAACCTTATGACTAAAAGTGGCACATTGGTCATTTTAGTGATCCGGATTGTTTTTTGAATTTAATATTAAATTTTAAAATTAATTTTGTCATTTCACAATTTAATAAACAGGTTCATTTTTATAGTTCAGGGGGTGTTTAGTTTTAGTGAAGATTTTTTTGGACGAAAATGATAGTAAAGTTGGGTTGTGTGATTTTTTTTCTTAAAAATAATAATATAAAATTTATAAAATAAAACAAGATTATCTAGCTGAAAATTATGTGTCCGGCCACAAAGCCCTAAGAAGCTTTTGCCAATTGCCACCGTACATGTTACTTTCATATAAAATTTATAAAATAAAACAAGATTATCTAGTTGAAAATTGTGTGTCCGACCACAAAGCCCTAAGAAGCTTTTGCCAATTGCCACCATACATGTTACTTTCATATAAAATTTATAAAATAAAACAAGATTATCTAGTTGAAAATTGTGTGTCCGACCACAAAGCCCTAAGAAGCTTTTGCCAATTGCCACCATATACGTTACTTTCATATAAAATTTATAAAGTGAAACAATAATATCTAGTTGAAAATTATGTGCCCGGCCACAAAGCCCTAAGAAGCTTTTGCCAATTGTCACCGTACGTGTTACTTTCATATAAAATTTATAAAATAAAACAAGATTATCTAGCTGAAAATTATGTGCCCGGCCACAAAGCCCTAAGAAGCTTTCCTCAATTATTGTTATTTCATTCTGTGGCCCAGAAAAGACTCGCTTTTGCTGATCCACTTTTTCCAATTCCTAGTATTTTTAATTATTTAAAATGATTATTTTGTTTATATTCTTTTTATTATTATCATTATTTTATTTTATTTTTACTTCGCTATCCAAACAGAACTTCCTTTTTCATTGTTGTTTTCTTTTTCCTTTCTCTCCCATAAAATTACTCTCATTTGTTTTCTTTCTGTTGCGTTATAAAACAATGGCTTTGCTTTATAAGATTTGAGTGGTGGGTTGAATGAACAAAAGAACTTGCTGGAGAAGTGGCCCAAAAGCTAATTGATTTTTTCTAGGAAGTGGCTGATGGCACAAACAGTCATCTTAAAGAGAGAAATATGTTTCAATTAATTTTTTATTTTAAAAAAAAAATTTTAATTATAATTTGGTCTCTTTTTGAACAATAATATCCTAAGTCACGTAATTCTTCTCAACAGGTGTCGCTCTCATTCTTCGAGCGCGCTTTTGCTTTCACTCTCTACATGTTTTTGCTCAAATTCTCATTACTTATGACTTAATTATATTGCTCTCACCCTCACACTCTCGCTCTCGAATTCGCTATTGCTCTGACTTAGATAATATCCCTTTATTTGAGATTAGAGAAAATATAATTCAAAATTACTTACGAATGTGATTCCAATTCGTAAGTAATCATGAAAGTGTCTTATGATATTTATTATTTGATATGTATGTCAAGATTCATTAAGCACAGTCATTACAACGTTTATTTTTATTTTTCCTTTCCCTTTTCCTTTTCCGAATTCAAACTTTTTTAAAACAACAAGTTCTAGCCGCCAACAAGAGGGAGCAAGAACAATTACAGAATGATTGCAAGAATTTAACCAACACAATAGATAATTATTTTTCTCAAGTGCACGATTTTAGGGAAAGAAATGGGAAATTTGATTTAATTCTTATGAAATTAAACTTTTCCGTCTTGGCTTTTGATGTGATTGTTCAAGGAATAGATACAAGTTCCAAGTTTAGCCAACAATCATTGTGATTAAACGCTTTCCTAATCTCGACCTGAATATGCTTCTTCCATTCTACAAGAAATGGTAATGGTAGTAGGAATTGATTTTAAACTTGTAGAAAACGTGTTTTGAGCAATTATTATATGTTTGTTCGCATCAATGCTACACGCACTACTTGAGTTTTGGCAGCTATTTACTTGAACGTTGACCTGCCACTTCACTATACTGTTTTCTTTGTTTTGCTTAGTGGATAGGTCTATCAAAGCATGTTTTCTGTTTTCAATTTATTTTTAAAGAATTCTTCCAAAATGGAAGCAAATTGAGGTATTGCTGGAAGCATTACTCGTAAAACATATTACTAGCTATAAATGGACTAATCGAGAATCAAAAGTAACTGACCAAGCTGCTTTAGCAGCTAATTAATGTGGTAATGAATCCATTTAGAATTGTAGCACCATGCATGGCTTGTTAGAGTTCCTCTACCATTTTTTTTACTAGTATATATATATATATATATTAAGGGTTCAGTGCAGAAAATCTCCTATAATATAAGTTTTGTGCATAAATAATTTCTTTTTTTTGAAAATGAACATTTCAGTACATAAAATTCAGAAAAAGTACAAATAAATCCTCTGACCACTTTTTTTTTTTTTTTTTTTGTCAAAATTGACGTAAAGTAAATTTAAAAATCATAATTTGCCATTTTCTCTTCATATTCTATCAATTTCTAAGGAATTGCTTCTGTCCTACACCCCTCACCACAATCAATGGTGCATCACAACCACCACCAAAATCAACTGTAGCTGGCAACACCCATCTCTTAACAGCCACAATCATCGCCACCCCTCAACCACCAGCGGCGCCATAACCACCATCCCCAACCCCATCTGAAGAGAAGATTTCTGATGTGGCTTCTAACGGCTGCAATGTGGGTGACAATCACATACCTATTTTCAATGGTTTCCATTTCGTCTGAGCATGCGGCAGAACCTATCTTGAATGTAGTTGCAATACCAGTACTAATAATGGTTGGGACTAATTGCCATTATTTTCATTCGCACACAATTTGCGTTTCATTAGATGGCTCATCAAAAAGGTACGAAAGTGTAGAAAAAGAACTGTTTCAAGGAATGTGAATGAGGGTGCATGAGGGAATGAAAGCAGTAAAGTCTTGAGAGACATCCTCTGTTGAACCAACACTACATCTTTTCCTTACAATGTCAAGTGTTATAACTATGGTTTGTAGCTAATCAATAAATCACATCATCTTCTTCGTGTAATACGTGTAGCGTTGTGTCCAGCAACCAAAGTCAGTCCAAGAAATGTATAAAGTACACACGCAAAATCTTGCAGCATCCAATATCTTCTGAGGAGTCGTTCACTCATGTAAGAATTAATGAAATCGATTAAGGTTTATGGTTTTTGATTAGTCACTTCCTTTCACTACCTATCAAATGCCTGGGAATGCATAGTACCTCTAATATTTTACACAAGATTTTAACAATTCTGAAACCAACCCCTTGTATTATGGTTTTGAATATCTACATTAATCAATGCTGAGAGGAAAATGAGAGACTCTCCGAATCGGAGAGCCTATCATCACTCATAATGAGACGATAGAATCAAATCATTCTAAAAGAAGTTACTAGATCTCTAATCCATATTGTCCAAAAAAAAAAAAATTGATGCTATGATCAGACTTACTATTCCAAAGAAGCAGCAAATAACATATCAATGACCTCATCATTGCCAATATATGTATAATGTATATATACAATTATACACATATTTTTAACAAAATACTATAAAACAAGGGAAGAAGAAAAGAACCGATAAAAGCTGTAATACATGGGATACAAACAGATATAAATAGATATTATAAATCTTTAGAACGTTGTTTGAAACAAAAGTAGCATTATCTCTTTCTGTTCCTTATGTATGTCCAGTGAAGAATCCATTATCTAGTCTATTTTTTGAATGCCCCTTTTCTAGACCTATTAGGCCTTTTTTCAAACATCTGTGTGGCATCCATTTAGATTCCAATCAAGAGAACTCTCAGATTATCGAGAATAACATTAAATGGATATCCAACAGCAAAATTAACACTTCTTTTTGTATATATAAATTATGATCTGCAGGTTGTATATACTTCTTATTGAGAGAGAGAAATCATCGTACCTTCAGAAGCTACTAAAAACCTGATTTTGAAATGAGAGAAAGTCAAGGGCTCGGGGTGGATTGGGCTTGTGTAAAAGCATGATGGAAAAATGTGTGTTTGGGTAGCACCGGACACATCGTAACTGTCTGTATTCACTCGTATACAATATGAACGTGATATGTCCCGTGCACCAGGTACACCGAATACGGAATATTTTAGGTTAAATTGGGCTCTAAAGGAGGGAGATTGGTGGATTGGGTTGGCAATTGGATATTGAGACGTCTGTGGTTGGGCTGAGAAATTTGAAAAGGTTTTTCTGATTATAAGGGATGAACAGAGGAGATCAGCGCTTGGGAAGGAACTGTGCAGATTTAGGAGTGAAATGTGCAGGGTCTGACATAAAATAGTCACTTCACCGCTTCATCAGATGGATTGTGATCAGCAAGCGTAGAAAGAGGTCGAGCTTTTCGTCCATGGAGGAATGTGAATGAGGGTGCAGTACGTATTACAAAATGAAACCAATACTATCTGATCAGTGACATCCATCCATCCGACCTGATCATCAGTTGGACCCTCTACTTCATTCCTTCACAATGTCTGAATTAATGTTAATAATGTTGTGTTATATATATATCTATTACTGTATATGTAATTTCCTAGTATAACTTGCTACTCATCTTAGCTATGTAATCCTTCTTTCTTTTTCTTTTATTCCTTTCTGTATTGTATATACCTAAGTTGGTTTCTAGCATTTTGAAGTTTTTGTTACTTGAATACGCATTGTGATTCTTTGCACACTTTGAAATTAAACCTGTGACTGCAACAACTCTCTCTCCTTCAAAAACAGCGTGACTAATTATAGGTGAGGACCTTTCCAAAGCCATTACAGATTTTTATTGTATGGGAAGCTTTTTTAAAAAATAAATTTAATTCTACACTCATCCCTCTGCTCAAAGACTTATGGCTGATATGTGCGCGCGCGCGCGGTTTCCAAATGGGCTTTGCTACAAATTAAAATATCTAATGTTAGGTAATTAATCACATCCTATGTACCTTCGTTATATGGTTATGGCTCTCTCTGTGGACCCACACTTGTTAACTAGTACTCATCAGGCAGTATATCTCTCAGATTTTATTTCGAAAAAGTAGTTAATATAAATATGTGATGCTAATGGTAATTCATTGGTGAAATTTTTTGCTAGCAACCTCTCTTTCTATTAGTCGGTTAAATGGCACTGGGAAATTTGAAGTGTCTTATCTCTCCCCATAAGCTCTCATCATATGCTATACACTATATACATCATAAATGAAAATTTTATAAGCCCCTTTTGTGTAAAAGCTCGTAGTTTAAACGGTTAAGTGCAAAAAATTCCAAAACACTATGAATATAGTGTAAAAAACAACTCCGTGTAGAATAAAATCCCCTACACTATCAATTTGGTGCACATATCCCCTTGTTAGCATAAAAAGAGTAGAATACCCCCTTGTCAATAAAATAAAATAATGTAAAAAAATTCAGACAATGTAAAATTACCATTTTAGACAATTCGGGAAAATGCCAATCAAGAATTGTGTAGTCAAGGTATGTCCAGTTCAGTGCAGAAAATATTGATATTATCAGATGACTGGCAAACCCACGTTAACAAAAGAAATTTGCGACTACTATGAGACTTCTTTTTCCATAGAAGTAGCAAATTACATATTGCCTCAACAAGGCAACATATATATATATATATATATATATATATATATATTTAAAAAATATAATAAAAAAAAGGGGACAAAGAAAATAACCACGTAGAAGCTGTAGTTGGCAAAAGTTCCCTTCACTTTAAACCTAAAAAATCAACAAAACAAGAGATACAAACAGATATGGCTAGGAAATCTTTAGAACATCATTTGCAACAAAACCACCATTATTTTATTCATGCATGAGATTATAAAACAATGTTACTTCGGAATAACAGAAAAGACATCCCCGCAAGCATGCTGACAAACATATGCACTTACAAGTGAGCACAATAAAAATAAATAAAAACCATTTGCCATTTACCCTTTACTGCACAAACATATAACAGATGACAATGTTCAGTGAATTACAAATGAATCTTCAGAGGCAGAACTTGTTAATCCTGTCTGGCCTCATGAAGAAATCCTGTGTGGTTTCTATTCAAACCCATCTCTTAGTAAGTTCAGTCTTGCTGTGTTTCAAATACTCGAACCAGTTCCAAGCAGATTCCAATATGATAACCACTGTTTACTATGAGATGGAAGATCACTTTCTGAAGCCTTTCCTTTGAATGACATGCTCTGCTCAGTGCAACCTGATTTTCTCATTTGGGAAGATAACGTTTGGGTTTCGAATATGTGGGTTTAGTGCAGCCAATTCCTTCCATTTAGCACCTGTGCCATGAACACGAGAAGAGATGCTCCACAAGGTATCACCAGGCTGTACTGTAGTTGTAGCTGGGGTAGAAGATTTGGCAACAGCCTTAGACTTCATAAATGGATTTTTATTGCTCTTTCCCATTCCGTTGGCAAGCAACCAACGGGAACCAGACTGTTGTTGAGCAGTGGATCCCCAAAGCTTCTTCTTTTCAGGCCCAGCCTTCAGACCTGCAACATGGACTTCAGTGATTTTGAACTGAGGAACACTATCTTCTTCTTGAATTTTCTCTTCTTTGCTCTCCTCCTTTTTGGCAGGCTCAGACTCGTCATCCTCTTCATTATTTCTCCTTACCTCTGAAACTGTGCTGTATATTTTTGGTTTTGGTGGGACAAACACTCTCTCTACTTGAATAAGAGCAAGCATTGGTGTGCCAACTGGCTCATAGTTTCGTAAAGGATCACGCAGCTGTACCATAAGTGCAACTGTGAAATTGTTCCCCAACAAACCGCACTTCCTACTTGAACCTTTGCCCCGTTTTTTCTCCCCTTTAGACCTTCCATGAATCAAGTCTGTGCTAGTAGCATGATGGGCAGCAAGTATTTTAGAAGTCCTCTCGCTGATTTGATCTTCATCATCAACTTCACCAGAATCCAGCTTCATCCATTCATCCAATGTTAGTGATAGGCCCATTAATCCATCAACATCGTCCCCACTGTCTTTGATGTCCAAAAGTTGCAACCCACCAGCTCCCTCCAAACCTAACGATCCACCTAAGTTTACCCTCTTCCCTTCAAGGGCAGAGAATTCACCAATAGACTGTGGACTGATGTTTGAAGGTGCGTCCTCATCTGACATGCCAGATTGTATTCTCAACCCTTCCATTGAGAGGGCTTCAATCTTATCCATCGCTAACGGAGCAAGATCTTCAAGAGACACATATTCTGAATCCATCTCGCCTGCAATTGAACTTGAGTCAAACTTACTTGATCTGGATCCAGGTGATTTTCCTTTGACTTTCTTTCGGCCACTAGATACATTCTTATCAATCTCTGATTCACCCTGTAACAAAACTTGTCTGCAACAAGAGAAAAGTAATTATCATTAGAACATCCAGAACACTTGAGGAAAAGTAGTTCAAACTCTAAATGGGAATACTTAAAACTAAATTACAAACCTTTCTGGCCCCTCCAAACTTGTTGTAGCTTCCCCCGCTGCTTGGAGTATTGTCTTCCCAGTAATATCTTCCAAAGGCATTAACTTATTTGCCTGCATCGATAGTTTTTCAATTCCGACTGAAGCCAAACGCTGCAATATCTCCATTATACCAGAACCCATTTCTGCGGGCACAACAACTGGACTGGAAACTTGCATAATCAAGCTACCACCACTTTTAGCATTCCTGAAAAGAGCAGGATTCATAGACCGCAAAAATCCTCCATTCTCAGTCTGAACATATGGACCAAAGCCTTCTCCAAGGGGAGGCAACTGGAGAGGCTCTTCAGGAGGGAGATCAATTGGACTCCCAAACCCACCAGAGCCACTAGGTGGAGAACTCTGAAAAGCCTTTTCATTCAAGCCCCACTCACGCATTAAAGTTTCATTCTCCAAGTCTTCAAGCACTGAGGCATAAGTTTTGCTCTTTGCTGCCTGAGTTGCTATGTTATGCTTCTCCTCGGCAGCTTGAACCGCTAATGACATATCAAAATCTTCTGGAAAGGTCTCCAACCCAGAGCCAATTGGAGCTTCGTCACCAAATTTGGCCAGCTCCCCATCTTCGATATCAAAATTAAATAAGGAACACCCACTAGCGAGGGTATCTTTCTCAAATTGTCTCAGTAGACGCTCTCTTGGGGACTCGGGCTCACTTTCAGAACTCAAGCCCAATGGACTATGCTCTATCCCCAGCATGTCTAAGAATTCACAAGCCACAGATTCTGTAACAGCATCCAAGCTTAGTGACTTTCCTTTCCTTCTTTCTCTATAACTTGATTTTACCTCAGCATTATTATCTGGAGATGGAATTTCACTTTCTTCTTGAGAATCCAATCCTTCCATCACCAAGTCTGACACACTATTTAAAGTGGACTCAATATTTTTCATGAGTAAATCTTGGGTTAATAAGGCCTCCTCTTTGGAAATGGCATCTAATATAAGCTCATCTTTATGACTTCCAAGTTCCTCAACCTGTGGATGAAGCTTGGTATCCTCTTCAAGGGCTATCCCAGAAGCACTGTCAATCCCTGAAAGATCAAAGCTGTCTACTGCTGAACCTTCAGCAGTATTTAATGAGCCATCTTTTAATTTCACTTGTTCCTGTGAGGACAACTCTATCCCATGCTCTGTGACAGAAAATTCACCATCTTCGCACTCATTTTCGACATTTTCAACATTTTCTTTACCAGTATCAAAAGACAAGTAGGAATTTGGTTTCAAAGGCTCTAGAGGTTCAGAGAATACATCAAGTTCGGGCTTATAATCAACTGAAACATCTAATTTCTCTTCATCAAATTTCTGACACAGCATATTTTCCGTACTGGAAAGTTCTGACCTTGATATTGGCAAAACCTCATGAAGGTCCTTTATATCTTCTGGACGAGATGAAATACGCGACCTAGAAGGAAGGCCTCCACCACGCTGTATTATGCCTTTACCATCACTCTGATTAAATTTCATCACAGGTTTCACCGTACTTGTATTACTTCGCTTCAAGCTCAAGACCTCTGGAACGTTTTTGTTAGCAGTCGGTGCTAAAGAATTGTTTCCGATTACTAAATATCCAAAACTGACATTCATAGTTGCGCCCTTAGCCTTTCCTGATAACTTGAAACTAGTTGTCCACTTCCCTGAGCTCTTCTCATCCTCTAGTTCCTCCAACGTAAGAGGAAGCAGCCTTGTGAGATCAACCCGATGCTTTCCCAAATCAAATTGAGGAGCATTAAGAATTGCCGCGTATAACAAGAAATGCTTTGCCTCATACTTTGCTGAATGGTGGGGGCCATTCCTACTACCATAAACCGAGCAAGTATTTGTCAATTGTTCTTCAAATTCAGCTATTCCTTGAAAGACCCTAGCTGAGCGAGTCACCAACTCGCCATCTCTTCTCTTCCAATGCACACAAAGACTGAGGTCATCAAAATAAGAAGGCAATCCTTCAATTGAATGGACCTGGAGAGAGAAACAACAATTGAACCTACGGTGTCGAACATGGGTAAAAGCCTTTAAGGCCTTCCAACTCCAAATGGATTTCTTGTCCTTGTGTAATGGATCCCCATTACCATCCTTGGGCTTAAATTTAGGTTCAAGCAAAGAAGTTCTTCCAGTAGACTTAGATCGATTATGCACTGAAGAAGTTGAACTCTTTGCCCGTGTTTTGTCAAGATATAGGGCTTTGCTTATAGCTTCAATATCATGTAACAGTTTCCCACTACCTGAATCTTCACCAACTCTTTTCCCAGCTTCAACTCTCGACAACATTATCTTCTCATAAAACTAACATATTATATATACGACAGATAAAGAAGAAAAAAAAAAAAAAATCAGATTATACAGAACCTATGCTCATAAATTAATCAAAGGATTTCTTGCGGACAATTCAAATCTTGGGCAATTTTCCTTTAGCTTATATATATGCAAAAATTATAAAGACTTCTCGTGTTAAAACAATGGTACTTGAAATCTACATAACCTGAATAAATATGAAAATTAACCAACAATCATTTCTAATTTAGTAAACCATTATGTTGACACGAGACTTACCAGGACTAGTTCCAATCGTGAGAGAAATCCCAAAGCCCTAGTTTACTGCATCGACTTCGCCGTCTTTTTCCAGGAAAATTGACTTCAAATTGAAAACATATATCCGCACACACAAACACACATATATGTGTGTGCATCAAAAATGATACAGAGACGAAAGGGTGTGCTCTTGCGGGAAGAATTACGGTATTTGAGCCGAGCTTTTCTCGTCTAAATCCCCACCCCTCTCTCTCTCTCTCTCTCTCTCTTAGCGTGACCATTCCTCATTTCAAAGTTCAAATCGAAAATATTAAAAGAATATTCTACAGTATTGTCATTGGTGACCCTTAATTTAGCAGAATTCACTTTCCTATCTCTATGTTTTTTGTATTTATTTCCTTGAGGCCACTTCAAAACAAAACAAAAATAAAAATCTCTAGACCAGTGCATGTGAGACTGGAGGACTACACGTGCGCCGGTGAATTATGGGAGTACTTTACAAAGTTGGAAGCCACCATCATTTTATATATATATATATATTTTGCAATACTCAATAGTGTTTAGAAGATAAAGGACAGCCTTGGTTTGTAATTCAAAACCAATTCTCATAAACTCAACTCAGAAAACAAATAACAGTTTTCAAAAAACTATAAAAGACTATTGTGTAAAAATAAGTCTTTTTATAATTGAGTTTGCATAAAATAGTTTTAAAAAAATTGAACTAAACACAAATTTTTGTACAGTTTTTTATTTTTTGAAAACAGAAAATTGTTTTCATAATTACAAACCAAGCAAATTCATAATTTTTTTTTAATTATCATTTTTATTTATTTATATTTTTATGAAAATGAGAAGATTTAGAATCACATGCAAAAATTATGAGGAGGAATGTTAGATGGAGGGGTATTCGGGTAAATCACTGCATAATTTGTCAAGTACCCTTTTTTTTTTCTTTTTCTTTTTCTTCAATTAGAATAGAAAGGAATCAAATGAGTATAATTTTTTTTTTCTAAGAAGAAATTCACACACCCATATAAGTTTCTATAAAAATTTGAGTTCTTGGCTCCGTTTGTTTGGACGAAAAATATTTTTTTTTATTTTTTGGTGTTAAGTTGTCGTAAAATATTTATGAAAAAAAATATTAAAATTTACCAAAAATTATTTATTTATAAATTTTTGATAAGTTATTTTACATATCCGACTCTATGAATTAGATCTTAACTTTAATCTAGACCTTTGTCAAACACCAACAAAATAAAAATAAAAAGATATTTTATCTGAAACAAACCAGCCCTAATGTTTTCCTCACTCAACTTTGTGTGTGAATGCGACTTTGTCTGTGGGTGTATTTACACCTCACCATGGGCCGGTACCAACTTTTTGTTTCGCCAGTTTATTAATATATGAGAAAAAATGGTGTGAGGATAATGAATAAGACACACTCATTTTATTCACCAAATAAGACAAATTTTTTTTTTTTATCCCAACAAAAAGAATTCATATAACTCATTTGAGTAGACTTGAACCTTCTATTTTTTTTTTAATAGGTCGGAAACCTTGGTAGGCTTTAAGTATTATTTATTAGTTAAAGAGAATTATATTCAAAGACTCATTATTGTGTCAAAATAATGTTATTAAGAAAGCTCTACATATTTAATAACTGAATTACAAGATATATTAAATAATGGTTGGACTTTAGTATCTAGTCTCTTGCAATAACAAGGACAGAGGAGAAATACCATTTATAATATTAATTTTTTAGAAGCATATTCCCATCAAGGAGAGCTCTCTCTCTCTCTCTCACTCCCTATGTGTGTTCACTGTTCATGACGAGATGGAACTTTCCTCTTTTTTCTTTCTTTTAATTGAAAAAAAAAATGAATACGAAAAATCACAAGAAGCATAAATTAGTGTAAAAAAGAAATTACAGTGACTTAAAGAGTATTATTGCATAAAATATTATTGAAGGTTTGGATAAGCAAAAGATGGTGCAAAAAAACCATTTCCTTTCTAAAAGTTCATCCAATTTTTTATGATGGTCTTCTGAATATAATTATTATTTTTTTTATAAGTCAAAAAGTGTTAAAAATTAAATTATTAAAAGCACAAAGTCGAAGCCTAACATTTCAAAATTCACCAAATATACTAACCCATTGGCCTCTGCAATTCGATAGCTCTGTATTTATCACATTAGTTGCATTCTTTATGAATTTTTTTTTATTTTTTATTTTTTTTGTAAATTTGTACCGTTATTGTGCATCAAGAAAGATTAGACTATTTATTATCGTGTTATTGTCTGAAAATTAGTTCATTAAATGAATGAGATATAATCTAAAATAAGAAAAAAAAAAAAAAAAAAAAAAAAAAAAAAAAAAAAAGCGGTAGTGAACAAGCAAAAATAAAACTTCTTGTCTCACAAAAATAATATATATATATATATATATATATATATACACATCACCATCCAAAAAATGGGCCCATCTCCCTTGGAATCACAGTAATCACATGGGATGGGTTTTGAGAAGAGAGCTTTTTGAATGTGTGCTTAGGAATTTGGAAGCTTCTGAATTGGGTCGTTTATATTCGGCTGTGTCGCTGCCCAAATATGGCCCACTCCAAATATTCAAAATGACGCGCCAACCTCGTGGACCAAAAAGAGGGAGAGCGTCACAATACAAAATTTTGAATGTACAAACTTTGTCTAGTACTCGAAACTCCAAAGTCCAAACCTTGCTTCCATTATAAATTTATAGAATATACTTTGTGTACAAAATATACTTTGATGTCGTCTATGACCATAATTATTATAATATAAACGAATAGATCAAATTGCAAGTTCAACCTTGTATTCCTGGAAAATAGCAACTTCTCTCTCAATTATTTTGTAACCAGAATGAATTACCTGCAAAACTGACAAGATATTTACCAAACTACCTTTTTCCTGACATGTGTCATGAACCATTAATTTTTCTATTCAAACATTTGACGGTGATTTTTTTTATATAAAATTTGTCATGTTCATGCTTTCCCACAAATAATTTGTAATGTCAAATATAATTGCGTAGTCAAATGATATTTACACGATTTACCATTCTTTTCAACAATTTTTATATTTATATAAAGTTCATCATTAGGCTGTCTGTTGCTTTTAAGAAAAATGGAAGCCAGTCATTGTTTAACACCATCTTACGGAGCTATATGGATTGCGACAATAAAACGCATTTAAGAACAAGAGGAGTGATACAATCATACAAGTAATCACAACCACACGCTAACATTGCGCTGCTTTATACGTTGAAGAAAATAAATGTGATGATTTTTGACTAATGCAGAACCCAATTCATCTATAAAATAAAAACACACACACTTTAGTTACCAACCAATAAAAACGATAAATAGCTTGAAAAATAAACCAAAATTTCATATCCACAAAGTCCTTTCAGGCACCCAGGTCCATTCGCTATGGCCAATTGGCCATTCCTAAAACATGACAGTCCTCTCTTTAATTTAACAGCATAAAATTAAACATCCTTAGGGAAAAAGGAGAATTACACAACCTCGGACTTTAACTTCATTGGCTTTGGAATCTGATACAAGTTACGTTTTTTTCAATATGTAGGGGAAAAAAATGAAAACGAAGTCATTTACAATGCAGAAGAGATTGGGAAGACAGAGATGTCAAATCTAAAAAATTAAATCAATACATAAACTTAGATACATTTTGAATAGTAAACCTAACAAATTGCAGATGTTGTCATTAATTACACTCATAAAAGCACTACAACGCTATAAAACCAGCAAACAACAGTGTGAAAGAATCCCTATGAGTTGCTTATCCAAAAAATTTGGATAAGCAAAAGGGGTGCAAAACAAATGCATGTTTCTATTTTCCCAATTATCACACTAAAAGCAACACGGCCAAAATAATACCCCTTGCGTTGCTTAAAGGGTGTTGAAGGGTGAAAAAAAATAAAAAAATGAATTGACCCGGGCAATGAACATGGAAGGGTTGCCCAGGCAAATGGAAAATATATAATACACACGAATGCAAGGGACAAAGAGATGGTATGCACAGGTTTCTGCACGTTTACCGATGTGCAGATATCGCCATACTGAAACGTGAGGACATGATTCATGTATTAGAAGTCATTATCATCATAATCATTCTGCCCGTTGATGTAAAAAGACAAATCCCGAGTTTTCACGGATTAAAGGGGGAGGTTCAATGTCAGCTATGTCAACTTGTTGCATTGACTTGGAGATGTCATCCACAGAGAATGGGATGCTGCATTATTTTTTTAACAAATTAAAAAAATAATAATAATAACAGATAAGAAAGTGTGATGGACTATGAAAACACAAAAACAGAATGTAAAACTGTCATCAATATAATACTGAAGGTACTGAAAACATTACCTCGAATCATCATCCAACAAGAACGAACTGCTGACAGCATTGTTAGAATCCTCCGTCATCATAACTCTCATACTTGAAATAACCTGTAACATTAGGGAGGATTTTAATGAAACATATTTGACAAGAACTACACCAAAATGAATTGGCAGTGATTTCACAATTTGGGCAGTATATCTCGATGAGAATCTGAATCAACTTACCTCTGAAGAAACACTGTGTGTGCCATATTTGTCATCCCAGTACATCGTACTAATCCTGTATAATTGCTGTATGCTGAGAACCTGAAGAAGCATCAAGCAAAAATTAGAACATGAAAAAGAAATGAGTACAAAAAGAATGAAAAATGGAAACTACGACATAAAAGAATGAACAATTAAAAAATGGAGCTACTCACAGGGCAAAGTTCATTTGTTATTTCGTCTAATGTCTTTTTGGGCTTTTGATGTATAACCTGAGTTGTTAATAAAGTGAAAGCAAAGGTGGTCCGTCAGCAATATATGAGATTATAACAATAAGCAATCAAGTATAGAGGCCACAAAAAATATTATATATATATATATATATATATCTTACCAGGAATCCAACTGCCTGCCTAATATGTTTCAATTCATCCCAAGCAGAGCCTGCGTACTGAACATCAAAAGATGTTAGGTGAAGATATCGATGTCACTGCAGGGTATACAGGTTATACCGTTGAATATAACTTACTTCCTCAGTTGCATGACAACACCATTGTTCTAATTCAGCCAACCCTGATTTCACATACTCCCCATTACTAAATGAGCAACACTCACGCCGCAAAAGAAGACTGCCAATAAGTGAAAAAAAATTATCTCAGTTGTAAAAATTGAATATAAATTAATTAGTAAGTCACATAATAAAATGGCTCAGCTGCAAACATAAATAATATATATATATATATATATATATATGAAGATTGGCATCTTCATCATCCTTGCCTTTATCCCACATGGCTGGGGCCAGGGAGCCATTACTTCATCTCATGTGAGTTTTGGTCGGCCTCTGTCTATTACATTCTATGCAAATAAATCTTTCATTTCTTATCGGTGCATCTACAGGTCTATGTTATATATGACCATACCAACTAAGTCTCCTTTCTCTTATTTTATCACTAATAGAATTCACTCCTAGTTTTTACCCAACACGTAGAGTATTAATCCTTTTTCTTCTAGTCACTCTAATCAGCCATCTTAAATTTCTCATTTCAGTTACATGAATGTGTTGTTCGTATTTCTTTTTTAACACCCAATATTTTGCTTCATATAATATAGCTAGCCTAATAACCGTCCTACATATATATATATATATATATATATATATATATATATATATATATGAAGAGATCAAAGCATTTACCTGTTGAATAGCTGAACATTGATGAATGAGAATATCTGAGTGAACACTTTGCGAACTAAGAACGGGGGAACCTATAAAGCCACAACAATAAGAAAATGATGATAATCCACAAAAAAAAAAAAAAAAAATTGTTTAGCCATTTTATGTGAACTTCAAAACTCACAAAATTTGCTTTCATCATCTTCAAGTAACTGTCTAGGCTTTTCACAATGCTTTGCCAATGAGCAACTAGAGCTTTCTGAGCCACAGCATTAGCTTGAGAACGCCCTTTCACTAAACTTGCACGAGATGTCCTAGGTGCCTGCATTGAAACAAGTAGATACTAAGTTCCACAGAGAGATTGTTACCAGTAATCCTATTGAATACTTTAGCATCATAGACGGCGTTTGCCTCCGTATACTCTTTCGGCTAAAACTGACCTTCAAAATTCTGTTAGATAAACTCTGGCTTTAATCGTGTTTTGAGAAGATGAAAAAAATGACGAAATGTATAATAGCCAATGCTAGACACGTGACCTTCTAAAAGCCCTGAAGACTTTTGATACAGAAAACAGAGAGGAAAAAAAGGAACAATAGTTTATTTCCCCTTCTTTATAGGACCTTTAACACTCAAAATTCTCAGTCCTTGCATGCATCCCCAGCTCTTCTTCCCCAAGTAAGCTCAACGAAGCTTTTCCCCAACTATTTGGGGTTTCCTATTCATATAATCATGGAAAAATCCTCATCCATTTTCCGCACTTTGGACTAGCTGCGTAATCTAAACACAACATGGATGGATTTGGCTTTGTTTCTCCAAATATATGGTCCTGTTTTGTTTAATTTTTTTTCATTGACTGTTTCTGCTCTTCCTTTTTGAAGAAATGGACGTGCAGTATTTTCATTATCGCTAAATCATCTTACACAAGGACAATAATGAGCACAATATATATATATAGATAGATATATACAATTTTGTTGTGTTTTTGCGATTGATAACAAAAATGCAATGCAATAAAATAACATAACATATACACTTTTGTTGTGTTTTTTTCATCAACTGTTTCTGCTCTTCCTTTTTGAAGAAATGGACATGCAGTATTTTCACTATTGCTAAATCATCTTACACAAGGACACTAATGAGCACAATATATATATACACTTTTTATGTGTTTTTGCGATTGATAACAAAAATGCAATGCAATAAAATAACATAACATATACCTGGATACATAATCCAAGTAATGGGGAAATTTCTTTCTTTAAATTGTCTCTTATCATCCCGTAGATCTTCTCAAGAAAAGCAGTAAGCTGCTGTTTGAACAGCAATGCTGGATATTTCGCTTCAACTTGACGCAAGTCATCCAGTCTACCAAGAACTCGACCACTAAGAAACGAAAGATTGGCACTTTGAGGAGACGCTCGCAATCCCTATGATACATATTTATAAACATTTATATATATATATATATATATACACATACACACAGAAGCGGTAAGAAAGAGCATGTATTGGCAATTTGCCAGGAGAAAGATGCCAAATAAAATTAAATAAAATTTTGACTCATACTTGTGACATCCTCCCAAAAAGAGAAGCTGATGATGTCCTCCGCCGTTGTGGAGTCAAGCTAGCAGCTCCACTTGCTTTAAGTGTGTGTTGGAGCAGCAACAACAATGTCGATGTATTACATAACCAGTAGGCTAATATGTCATTATTATCCTGGACCTACAATATGGTAGAAGTTTCCAACATAAGTAATATGCAAGTTGTAAAGTCCATATATTAGTGGAAAGAATACTAACAAACATAATATACAAATTGCTCAAGCAGACTCTACGAGTTTGGAACAGTAAAATTAGAGAATGTGCCCGCAAATTAACTATGAAAGAGACCAAGATATCCAAAAGGTTAATGTCTACCTCTATGGCTGAGGCTATTGTTTGAATTATACGGTCAAACACACTAGTTCTTTCAACTTCAAATGACCTCCAATGAAGAAGGCATTTGTATATGACACAAGCAGCAACTGGTTTGCCCCCAGAAAATCCTAAATCTTGTGAAATACACTTGATAAGCAGGTCCTGGTTCTCCTGTAGAGGAACAGTAAATTGCAGCAAACAAATTAAGAGAGAGAAACAGAGAAGATAGAATGAACTTCTTGAAATGAACTGAAAATGGAAGATCCCAAATGGAAGATCACGTAAAAATTAAACACGCATCATGAATGCCAATGGCCACTCACTTGCTGCTTGTCATTAAGTGATTTCTGCGGTTTTTCTTCAGATTCAGGCTCTCTTGGATTTGATTTAGCCAGAGAGTTGCCCTACGACATGACATGTTAACAGACTTTAAGCAATAGAAATTTTTAAACAAATTCAACCTCAACAGACTAATGTCAATTCTGTATTTTTTATTGAAAATTCCCTCTTATCAAAAGGAAAGAGATGTTAGCTCCTTACTGATGCAATCTTCATTTCCCCATTTAGGACATTCCCATTTTCTGGAGCTCTCTGTAATTGTATCAATGAACAGTTAGAATATGCCACCATTACCTAGCATTGGACTGATTAGAAACCTAATATTTTATTAGTACCTGAATAATTGTTGTCTTTGGTCGGGCAGACAAAGCTTTTCCAGTGGGTGACATGGTCAGCGCTTGCTGACGAAGTACTTGATTCTCTGACTCTGTATTGGAAAGTTTTTCTTCAAGCCTGTAACAGGGAAAATGAACAAACTTCAAAAAAGTTCCAAAAACTACAACTAAATAAAGCAAAAGCCCAAAGGCATTAGAGGAATTTTTTTCCCCCAAGAAGGTAGAGAGGAAATTTGGATACATTTGCTTCCATGCAGACATAAATATAAGAATGTGTATTCATGAACATATGGAGATGAGAGGTAACAAACTCATCATTTTGTGGAATATGTCAACTGATAGCTCCTAGCAGCAAGTTAACTACAGAAATTTATGATGGAAACCTAAAAGATGCAGCTGAAACCAAGTATAGGGCAGTAAACTATGTGAGAGATTTCTACTTGCTGGTCACTAAATTGTTGCATTCGGGTAACCAGAGATGACATAATAATCGTCTGGTTTTTTATACACAGTATGTATCAATAAAATAAAAGATTTATTTTCTGTCAGTTCCATCTTTCATGTTGTGATTACAAACCTCTGTACAGAATCTTGAAGCTGATCTACTTTTCGCTCTGCATCTTCAAGTTTCTTAACCAGTTCAGCATTCCTGAGCTCAGCATCCGTACGAGCATTCTTAGCCTCTTCTGCAGCCTTTTTTTCTGACAGCAGCAAAGCCTATACAAATTATAGAAGCTCATTACGCCTCTGAAACCTCACAAATCCATCCTCAATGTCCTTAATCATAAACAATTGTTAATATGCCAGTCAACTTATATTCAAAAACAGCTGAATAATAAGCAGCATAGTTACCAAGTTCAATATGTAAGAATTGCAAATGATAGAAGTAAATAGGTTCGTTGAAAGCCTAGTTGACTCAAATTCAACAAATTCATAGTTGAAGCAAGATTTGCACACCGAGCTTAACTGATATCTATTCCAGCATGAAAAAGTGTTAAGGAGGATGCAATTTAGGGGTTAATGAATCCAAAATGTTTCATCACACTAATTTGACAAAGTCCACTGAAATGAATTTTTGAAAATTGATCCAACAAAGTGACCTAGAAATGCCATGAGTCTTTTTTTTCCCCTTGTGGATAAGTCCTAGAAATGCCATCAAATTCAGGGAAGTCCAATGCGTATAAAAAATAAACAAATGACCAGTCATGAAAATCCAAATTTTATCACTTCTGCCATCATTGTTCACAAATTTCAGAAAGGCCTATTTAGTGTCTAGAGCATCCATCATCTACCAGATGAAAATTGTAGTCACTGACTGCATTAATGGGACGTTCCTAATTCAGTAGAGCATAGACCTCCATCAGAATATAGTTGTTTAAGTAAAAGTAGTATGCCTTACGTATTCCGAAGACTTTGTTGTTACACAGCAATCACCAATTGACCATCATCTAAGTTAAAAGTGCGTACCTTCAAACTCTCTACCTCAGCAGTTAATGAATCAACCTTCGCTGTATCTTGTACTATAACAGGGGTTTCTTTAATTACTGGAGGAGCTTCTTCAATAGCTTTCCGTGCTGCCTCTCGTTCTTTAATAACTCTAGAATTTGCTTCTTCGACTTGCATTTGCATTGCATGCAAAGCATCCTGCAACTTTGCAGTTTCTTGGGCCTTTGCCTCTTCCAAATCAGTCTGAATTTAACAAAATGGATTTATGGTGCAAGTCAAGTGCAGTACAATTTGCTATACAGCCTATACCATGCCAAGACGCAGGTCACTAATTTATAAAGTATGAGAAAATGAAATTAACAATACTCTTAGTCGCTTCTCTAACTGCAATCGCCATGTAAGTTCTTCCACGCGCTTTTCTAGCTTGTCTTTCGCTTCTTTAAGGGCCCCAGTTTCCCTTGCGGCCTGAATAAGTTCACACGCATGGTTACCAACTGAGAAGTTATTCCTCGTACCAAACCAAACAATAATGCATTGATTTTTGCACAAACAACAAAATCACATTAAGGATTGAGATCAAACCATTTTGAGCTGCCGGAGCTCTCTCCGAGCAACCCTTTGTCTCCAACCACACTGATAAGTAATAGCAGCCTTCTGAAGACTCTTGTAGTAAGAATACTCTCTGTGGCAACGCATATGAGCCTGCAAGCCACCAACAACATTTTGCACTCAAAATTCAATTCTTTGAAACCAATTTAAATTAAGGCCTAGTTGATACAAAATAGCAATAGAACCTGAATGATAATTGCAGCTTTAGTTTGCTTTCTCAATCTGAATTCATTGTGAGCTGTCATTGCCCTTAAGCCTGTCTGCAATGTGATTGCAGACAACCGTACACTCGAGTATGATTTCCTATCAACGTAACGACGGAAGTTCTTCTGAATCTTTACAGCTGCAGCTTGCCGTCGCAACTGCTCGTACAGTTTGCAAGCAAGTATACCTGATTAAATGAGAGAGCAATCTACATCAGGATACCAAATGGCTAGATGAAGCAGTTAATCGAACCTAAAAGAATATATTGTTGGTAATTAATTTATCATTCAGAATAAATTGAATAAGTATTCTAATCTTCGGCATCAATGATGAAATCAATATGATCCATAAGCAAGTACACAAGCTTGACAATAACAGATGATTCCCCATCTCTTCTTACTTTTTATTCCATATATTATTTACATATATGACTCTGGTATTGAAAAGCTTTTGATGCTCAAGGAAAACATCAAGATTCACAATCTTTGAGGCTTAAGTAATTAAAGCTGCCAACCTCTTAATAGGCATTCAGTTGAGATTAAAACTTCTATTTGATATATATATGTGTGTGTGTGCCCCATATGCTAGCCCGACAAATTTCGTGTTACAATTGAATAGTACCAACACCAACGTGAAAGTTTGAGCAATTTGATAGCAATTCTAATAATAATGATAAGCATACTTTATTGTTTATACATTTCGAGAAATAAGTAACAACAAAATAAAAAAGCAAGACAAAGAAGACAACAAATAAAGATACCTCGCCAGCATGATTGCAATTGAATAGCAGCTCTGCGTAAAGAAATGAATTCCTTGCGGGCAATGTAAGTACGCATATGCCTTTGAATAATTTTAGCCGCATTTCCAAGAACCTCTGCCCTCCTTGCGTCCAGCTCAGCCATCTGACCAGCTCGTAGGAAGACCTTGGTCTTGCCTATCTGCCAAGCCAAGCGCATTGAATGACATATAGAAAGTGGAAAGAGAAACTAGCAGACCCTATTGGTAAATTGAATCGTATAGTATTAGGGGTCTAAAATTGAAAAAAATGCAAAAACAAAGGTACGACATTCAATTATAACTACAACCATGCAGGGGTTTGGGGGGTTGGACATTTTTAAATTGTTTAAAGAAGTTCAATGCATGCTGCAACTATGTGAAGGTGATAATGAAAGGAAATCATTTTTTATATCAAGTGAAATGCCACACTGGTGACACGATAAGGACATCAAATTCAAGAAATTTCAAGATTACCTGATAGCCTTTCAGTCCCATTTTATCAAGAATCATCTGACATGCAGCCTTGTCATCATAGCTGTACAGGATGTTGTGGTGGTTCATCAAAAACTAGGATGAAGAAGATGAAAGCAGTACAGGGGAAGGGGAAAAGAACGGAAGGACAAGGCAACCCAAACAATGTGTCATCTGATACATATATCAAAACTTGTACACTAGATATAACCCATTTTTTAAAGTAGTTATCACTGTTGGAAAACGAAAGCATTTAAAACTTACTTTCCTTCCAAAACTTCTGGAGCAAGAACACCAAAACGAAGAAGAAACTCGTAAAATGTTCGTCTAGTGGGATATCCAGCACAGCTGATTCTGATTGCTTCGAGAACACCCTACATTGCAAAAGAATGACCAGAATATATTTATTTAAAGAAAAAATTTAAGTCCCTAGGCAAAGTTTTGCAGGTTGAATATAAATAAGGCACCACAAGATGTAGTGAGGTTTTGGCGCATTTTACTTACACCACAGCGTAATTGTTGAATTATGTTGGAGTTCTCAAAGACAGCAGGCTTGAGGACATTGTTTGGCTTCACACATCTGATGTAGTGAGGTTCTGTTGAATTCAAGGTTTCCATTAAAGATTGAAGTTGTAGCTGCAAAAATGTAAATACCACTTGTCCATTAGCATACTCCTAGATCATGAATCGGGAATTATATAGCTTATACCAGAAACCTTAACGTGCACAAATCTTATCGTGTATCAAGCACTCATACTAGAAAATCAATATCATTAAAGAAACCAGCCCAATTCTACTTCAGTTTAGTAAAGAAGTTGCAATTAATGTAGAAAGCTGGAGAATCAGAAGCCAAAATGCTGAGGAAATGGATCAAAAGGTTTTAGAAACAAGAGAGAAGTATGAACATTTAATGCACTTCCCCAAACCTAATTCCGACAGAACTTTTCTATTATCCAGAATCTCCTTTGCTGACCCCACAGGTTGTCATTATTCCAAATAAAACCTTACTATTTGATTACCAGTGGGAGTTCTGTTTGATAGAAATATTATTTCAAACAAATATTTTGCACTTTTGGCATTGTTTTAAATCTTAAGTTCGGAGCTGAAGGCTTCTCAGATAGTTTTCGTATCCATAAAGCACAATTATAGCACTCAGATTGTCTTTGCCCTCGAGCATGGAATCATAAGTCTAAACTATTTTCTATATGATTGATGGTTTTTCTCTGCTGTAAGAGTTCCCTTAAACCCAAAGTGTGTTCTCTTATGGGGCTTTAGACTTCAGCAATACAATTCAGCTTCCAAACAAGTAAGCAAATTCCATCTTGAGGGAGGTCGGGAAGAAAGTACGCGAGGATACCTTAAAGCGTGACCCTATGGAAGAAAATTTGGATGACTTTGATGACTCTTCTGGAAGTGGAGGAAATAAACCAGCTACAAAGGAGCACTTTGAGGCTGTTAAAAGAACCTGATGTTCTGCCACCACATAATCTTTGTTTTTGTCTAGAAACAGATCGGCCAGATAAGTCACCTGCAAAAAAATGAAGGATATTTCAGCAAAATGATGGCAAAGTTAAATTTGTACATAATTAGACAGGTAATCAATGTTTACCTCCCCAGCATAGTGAGATATTGTAAAACTAGTGCGAGAAAGCTTTGGTTTGATAAAACGCTTGTTCTTTGCAAATGTTTGGTACAACTTTTGAGCAAATGTTTCATGAGTAGACTTAGGAAACATGCTGCATTGAGCAATTACAAAAGTATGATTCAACCATAGAAAGATAATGAAAATCACAAGAACTTAACAGTATTGCGCTACAAAACCACTGATCCACAACAATACAGAATTTTATACATCTAGAAGAATATAGGGTCAATAGAACCCTGCAAATCCAACGTAAACATGGAAATATTATAAGACTAAGAAGCAATGATGAAACACATAGAAGTAAAAAATCAGCTTCTTACCAGGCTTCATCTAGAAGTGCAATGATTCCTCCAGGTTTCTGCAAAAGATTGAAACTTGTCAGCACATTATCTATGCATTTAAAGAATAATAGATACGTGCTAAACAGAACATTTGGTAGGACATATCATTATAGTTTTGATGATAATTAAAGAAGATAAAAAGATTATTGGCCAAACACACGAATAGTATCGATCAAATGAAAACGGTAACACACATAAGTATACATCATGCAACAATGGAACACCTTTTCAATCAGATCCAACACATCTTGGTTATCAACAAACTCTATGTAGCTCCAATTTATCTGTTCTTTTGTGTACTCTTCTTGTTCCATCTTAAACACGTGCTGCAACCAATCAATTACATAGATTTAAATTAAGCAAACACTTATATAATATTCAAATAGTGATCAATAAATCACATGAAAGAAAGCTAACCTGGTTAAAATGTTGTTGCAATTTTTCATTCGTAAAATTGATACAGAACTGCTCAAAACTATTTCATATAAAAGTTTGTCAGCATAATGCCAGTAAACCTATGCATTACATTGCAACTAAAAATTCCACATAATTAGTTACCTATTGTGCTTGAAACTTTCAAACCCATATATATCAAGAACACCAATTAATGATTTTGAGTTGGGATCCTGCCCAATCGAATTGTTAATCTTTTCCACAATCCTGAGGAAATAGAAACAAGAAGTAAGTGCATCAGCCATTAAGAAAGAAACTGTGAGTGTGTGTGTGTGTGTGTGTGTGTGTGTTTGAGAGAGAGAGAGAGAGAGAGAGAGAGCAACTCATTAGAAAAGTAAGTAATAAATTAACATGTTCTAGACAATGTGTTTGCATGTCTATAAATATTTAACATGTACATGATATTATATTTCCTTACCAGTCAAACAAGCGAGAGTATATAGTTTTAGCCAAAGCATCTCTGCTACCCAATGCAGCATCAGGATCAAGAGTCCTTGTAATGACTTCCTCGGGCGTTATCATTACACGCTGAATCAATGCATCTTCCAAGCTCTTGGCATCACACCTATTACATGAAATTGGTCAATAGGGATATATAATTTCAACAAAAATGGAACCGAGATATAATGCATTGAAAATTTAGAGAAAAAATAAACCTACATAAGCAACTCAGCTGTCATATTGAGATGGAACCTAGATTTCTCATCTTTAACGACAGAAGAGTCGATCTCCAGTCCCTTTGCAAATTCTATATTACCAAGATGAAGAATTGCAGCCACAACCTTAAAAATTGCCTCCTGAAAATATTTATTTAATGTTATTAATCTGAGAGGGGGAGTACAAACCATCTCTATGGATAATTATAAGGCCAACCTGCTCTTCCTCACTAATCCCAACTATGTCCATTGCCCTTCTAGTTGCAAGATATTCATGAGCATCATTTACTCCGTCAAGCTCATAACAGCTGGACTGATTTAAGTAATGGAATGATTTAGGATTTCCCAACTTATACTTCTCTCTATCCTGCAAATTAGAAGGAAATGTGGTGAAGCAAAACATTGAAAATAAGTAGGCATAAAACTGCACAGAAAACAGAGCATAAATACCTCCAGGGGTGCAGCACAAAGAAGATAAAAACAGTGGTAGTTTCTTTCAGGATCTGAAATTTGACAAACGCGAGATCTCTCGAGGAGGTACGTTCTTATAGCTGCTCCAGATATCCTCCCATTCTTATCAAATTGTATCTCAACGAATTTACCAAATCGACTACATTGTGGTGCCACAATAAACATAAGTAAAAGTATGGTCAGTTGATTGGATAAGACAAATAAACACAAACATACCCAAGAACAAGCTAAAACATAACTGATGAGTATGATTTAACTAATTTGTAATTAGCGTTTTCAACTAGGGGAAAAATCAATGTCACTTACTCACCTTGAGTTGTTGTTCCTGACGGTTTTGGCGTTGCCAAATGCTTCAAGAACTGGATTGGACTGAATTTTAATCACCATTAACAGCAATCAATGCAGCAATTCCAACCATTTAGATTTTTTGTGAAGACAAAATAATCAAGTCTGTAGAAAGTTATTGAGATCTAGAGATGTGAGCAACGAGAGGAAAAGTTAAGTCTTACCTCCAGAACTTGTTGTTCAACTGTCCGTCCTTCTACCCCAGACCGACCACCCAAATATGCAAGATATCTCATAAGCATCTTTGTTGTTTCAGTTTTACCAGCACCACTTTCTCCACTAACCAAAATCGAGTTGCTCTTTCCCTCGTTGTTCATTGCTCTAACAAAAGTAAAGATATCAACAAAAGTATGACTTAAAATAATGATACCTGATAGACTACTTTTACACTACCTGTATGCAACATCGGCAACTGCAAAAACGTGAGGACTAAGCTCTCCAAATGCTGCACCTTTGTACTGTTCCATCATGTGAGTATCATACAGATGAGGTAATCTTTGAAACGGGTTTATTGCGATCAAGATATTTCCGGTATATGTCTAGGAGAGATGGAAATAGATCAAAATATTAGTAACATACTAGTTTTATCACTAAAAATGTACTTTAAAAGATTATGAAAAGGGAAAAATTAGAACATCTTACATAAATTTCATTAAGTTCATATCTGGTAGCCAAGTTTTGCAGAACTCCGGGTTCATGCAAATATGAAAGTTTTGTCATGTCATCTACGCCTCCAGGAGGAGCTTCAGTATCCTTTGGGAACACTTTGGAGATGTTTGTGACAACCTGCAACCAGTTTCTAGTCTGTAAGATTCCTAGAACCACCATTGAATAAATTACATGGAGAGAGAGAGGAGAGTCAAAATTATAATACATGTAAACAATTAATTACTTATCAAAATGACTAAATGGACTTTAGAGAGAAACTTCAATTTAGACAAGTACTTGAGTACAGAACAACCATGACATAAGACAAACAGAGGGCCATAGTCCATTCAGTGAAAGGAAATTGCATCAACAGGAAATGGTATAGGAGTAAATAGGTCGGTTCTCATAAAAACCATGGAGGGAACCCAGCTCCATTCACTTAGTGGGATGTACAACTCAAGTACCCAGCAAAATATAACAAAACATTGTCTCAACTACTTTAGAGTTGATACATGAGTCTTGTTCTGTCCTGTTCAGTTGTAAGGTCATAACTTCCATCAGACTTCACCATAGTGTGATTCCTTACTACTGGAACCACATTAATTTTGATCTTCTCCTTCATTTAGAACCCCCAACTATACCATTTCACTCTTCCTAACTATACAATTATTGGTCTTTGTTGTCATGAATAAACCGTCATTTCTCTCATTTTACTCGATAGATGCTACTTCAAACATCTCACAGATGTGCCATTTCTAAATTATCCTTCTTCCCTTACCACTAATTTGTCACAACATCCGCAATTCGCAAATACTCATTTTATGAACAAGTTATTTAACTGCCCAACAATCTGTCCCATAACACACGACTAGTCTAATAGTTATAATATAGGATTTACTTCCGGCTTCATGAGTATGCATTGATCCCACAATGAGATTTTTTTTTACTCATAACTGTCCAAAAGAAAGCAATTGAGGAGAAAAGCTGCACTAAAACACCTTAATATAAATATCTCTTCCATGAGAACAAAAAAACCATGGGAAAATTTAACTGAATACATTTCTTTCAGACTCAACACTCTGCACCGTCATATTTTTCAATTGTCATTTGAACCTCAGCTTTAGAAGGACAGGTTAACAGAAAGATAGATAGATATAGAGAATAAGACACCAATTCCAACTCCTCATCAAGTATAGTATCAGAATCTGAAATTCCAATGCATCTTTCTTCAGTTCCAATCATAAAACACAGTCCATTGGGAGAACCTTTTTACACTACGCAAGAAACCCTGTGGCTTGCTCCTTTAAAGGAAAACTATCAATCTAAATCACATTCCAAGCAAAACTTCACTGCTCATATGTGTAAAGATGAGTTTAGAGATGCGCGGCCAAAGCTGTACAAAGTTCATTCGTAAGTATCAAAGACTTGGGGACTGCTTGGTTTCGTTTTCTAAAAAAAGTTCTCAAAAACTCCAAAAAAAAAAAAAAAAATTTGGGGCCCGCTTACAGAAAACTGTACAAAAAATTTTGCTTGGTTCTTTTATAGTTCTCTGAAAATAGTTTTTTGTTCTCTGAATTCTTGAGAATTGTTTTCAGAGTTACAAACCAAGCAAGCCCTTGTTTTCTCTGAAAACAGCCTTATTTTAATTGAGTCTTAAGAAAACAATTTTCAGAAACTGCCAACCAAACAAATTTTTTGTTCAGTTTTCTGATTTTTAGTTCACAAAAAACAAAAAACTGAACCAAGCAGGCTCTTGGCTTCTTATGGGAATTCTTATATTTCTATAAATTTGAAAAGATCACATAACATGAAGCACTTTAGTCTTTTAAATAGAATTTGTTACGTAATTGTCAGTTAATACAACTTCTTCAGCAAGAATGACATCCCAAATTTTTAGATAATTAAATGTATTCTCCACATATGTCTATATAGACTACTCCAGAAAATTTTAAATTATATTTCCAACAATACCTTGTAATTTAGATTTTTTCAGTAACAACTTCATTTTTGCCTATACTTCTTTTTGAACAATAGTACTGATAATTTGGCGACTTGCTCGATCTCGTCATCTTTCAATCTTCTTGCTTCAGTTGCCATTTCTTCCATGATATTACATCACAATTCGAATTTCCAACTTCTTCCCAATGGCTCATGTCTTTGAATTAAATGTCTACCGCCCACTTTGAATTTTGCGGGTCTGCTGCCCTCTTTGTTTTGGTTATTCCTGGGTGACATTGATTGAACCAGGATTTCAATTTTCAGTGAACTGCTTGCTTGTTTGCCAATCTTTTTGTTGCTTTTTTGCTTTTGACCATGGATAGCACTTGCTAGCTACTAGGCCTTTTTGGGAAGAAGAAAATATTTAAAAGTACTGTGATTTGGATCATGGAGTTCAAAATTTTTTCATGAAATTTCAATATTTCAGGCAAGAAAAAAATGCTTAATGAGAAAAGGGGAAAGAATCGACCCAAATGCTCTGACACTACTATTGGAATCGTAGGGAAAGCATACAAATGAGATTCATAAGTGTGAAGATGAGTTTGAAGATGTACAGCCAACGCCTTACAGAGTTCCTGTGCACATAGGGCACTTCTTACGAAAAACATTTATACTTCTATATATTTGAAACTATTGCACCACATGAAACACTTAACCTTTGAACACAATTTGTTACCTTATTGTTATCTTTTATAACTTCTTCTCAAACAATGACTTTCCAAATGCCAAAGAACTTCATGTATTCTCTACATATGTATCTTGATATGAAAATTGTATAAATTATTCTACAAAATTCTAAACCATATTTCTGACACAATGAACTCTATGATTTTGACCGGTGCCTGAAACCCGCACTGCAACTTCTAGCCACCTTATTGAACCACAAATTTTAAATTCCATGACATCATCTACAGCACCACTAATTCAAAAAAATATATATTAGGACACCATCAATATCCAATGATACGAAGTTGAACTTTCCAATGATGTATGTCCCACATTGAAGTTTCAGTACCTAGAATTTCCATTACATAATAAAAACTTCCATAAGTTGATTTAACTTCAAAATTTAAAGTTGCTGTAAGACCTTATTACGAAATGGTTGGTATTATGCCATCACAGTAATGTTCACTAACAACATACAAAGATTAAATGAGGAGAGCATAACTAATTATAATTGAAGCAGTTATCAGGCAGAGTTTGTGTTGCGCACTATAAAGTCTGCCACCATTTAGAATGGTAATAGATTTATTCTTCATCAGAATTCAAGTCTACCAACGTTAATCCAAGACATGCTGATATATTTACATTTAATGTAGATAATTTTCAGCTTATTTCATGCCCTATCAATGACTTTGGATTATGAGAACAAAAGTTAAGCTAGTAGCACTCACTGTTTTCCCATTTGTGGAAACATGAAGCTCTTGACCATTGATACGGACTACTTCTCCATCAATCCATGCCAACTTTGGATCTTCAACCCATACATGAGACCCTACAATAATATTAACAGGTCCGGCCTGCATAACAAACAAATGTGATTTGTAAGGAAGACAAAACACTACAATCTCTGATTTAAAAAAAATGCTTACAATTCTTCCACTTGTCCATACCCTAGGTACATAAATAAATAAAGAGCATCATTACAACAATAAATTTCCAAATAATGAATGATGTACTTGTTAAACTGTTAGAAAATGGGTCAAACATCAAACTCTCACATGGTGAGACAGAAAGAGAAACAGAATGGGGTAGAAATAGACAGATACAATTGGGTATCATGCGCGGGGGGGGGGGGGGGGGGGGTGGGGGGGGTGGGGGGGAAAAAAAAAACTGACGAGTGTGGCGTAAAACTATTTCAATACCTATCATAATTATGGGGTATTTCATGTATCAAACTAATGTGTCATACTATGGAATTTTGGGAGTTAGTTTCTGAACAATGACTAAGGTGTGAAACAAAATTTGTCGGACATTCAGTTTGGACTTATGTCAGGAATGTCAACAATGGAAGCTATTTATTTCTTGATGTGATCTAGAAAGAAATAGAGAGAGAGAGAGAGAGAGAATAATCTACACATAATTTTTATAAATTTGGAGAAAACCTACACTAGGGGTCTTAGAGATATATTACGGTGGGGTTTTCATATTGCAGAGGAGTTCCTTGTAGAACCTTTGATAAATTGATGTGCTAAAAGAGATATATGATAAAACAGTTACCATAGTAAAATAATTGCAGGAGAAAAAGTGAAGTTCCAACTACTTCAGATTTACATCAAAAATCAACATTAAACCCATATTGTTTTGCCTTACTTATGGATGAACTAACAAAACACGTTCAAGATTAAGTCCTATAGTATATGCTATTTATTGATAAGATTGTTTTGATTGAAGAGAACAGAGTAGAAATAAGTGCTAAACTAGAGGCTTGAAGAGAAACTTTATAATTAAGAGGGTTTCAGATAAGTGGGAATAGAGTTGAATATATGGAATGTAGCTTCAGTTAATAAAAGTAGGGACAGTGAAAATTGAGGGTCGAGAGGTACTAAAAGGTGAATATTTCTCGTTACAAGCTCTATTATGCACAGAGACGGAGAGACTAGAGATGATCTTAATCATAGAATTAAAGTAGGATGGGTGAAATGAAGAAGAACCCACTGGATTCTGTGTGATGGGCACAAACTTCTAAAATTGAAAGGAAATTTTTATTCAACAGGTTTTACTTTTTAGACTAGTCATACTTCATAAGAACAGAGTGTTGGACAACAACAAAACAAAAAAATAAAAAATAAAAGATGGAAGGAAAAAAATTTATTCAACAGCAGTTTTGGATGACCCAAAAATATATATATATATATATATATATATATATTGAAATAGATTTTTGCCAAAGAGGAAAAGGATAAAGTTAGAAATGAACACATTCTTGGGATGGTTGAAGCAGCATCAATTGGAGATAAAATAAATGAGAACTGATTAATATAGTTGGCCAATGCAAGTGGTCCATGTTGACAGTAGTGCTATGCGTAAAGATAATTAAAAAAGATAAGGTGGCATGTGATTTAACAAAGGCTATGGTCTAAGAAGCGCGGACACGGATACGGGACACGGATACGACACGACACAGATACGGCGACACGGCAAATCCAAAAAAATTAGGACACAGACACAAATATCTACTGTAATAGTGTAATGACTGACTCTTACATACCTATTTGTTTTGTCTAAAATTGCATATTAATCTTACAAGTTTAAAATTATTATGTACTGACCACATAAGTGAGTAAAAGTTGTTAAATAACTTCACATATTTATACTTTAACCCAATTTTCTTTCAAAAATTATCTTTTAGACCCCGAAAATAAGACACGCGTGTCGAACACACACCCCTTGCGTGTCAGACATGTGTCCGCGGAGTGTCCGTGCCGTGTCCGAAAATTCAGACACATTTTTTGGTGTGTCTGACACTTGTCGGGGCGTGTCCGACGCGTGTCGGACACGGATTCTTCACCCACTTTAGCGTGTCCGTGCTTCCTAGACTATGGTCTTAGAATGGACTGGCGAAACACAATTCATGTAATTGAACCCAAATAGTTAGGAAAAGATTAGCTGAGTTGAGTTGAGATAATATGAATAACTTAGCGAAGGATAGAACTTTTAAGCCCATAACAAAAGCATCTTTAAGGTTTAATTAAATTTTGAGAGGAATGATATCTAAAAGATTATCATAAATGAATTAGTAAGATCTAATTAGAAGAAATTATGAATCCCCATTGACAGCATTTTACAGGGATGGTAATTTCCTCCGACCCGTCGAGTTTCTGCCCCGCCCCTACCCTAATGGGGTGGATTTGGTAGTCCCCTAAATGGGTTTGGGACGGAAATGATAAAATAACTAAAAACCCAAAGCGATTTTGGGGCGGGGACGGATTTACGAACCCGCCCCGATTATATATATACCTTTAAAAAATTTATAAATATAAAAAATATATATTTAATATTTTTATGACCTTGTTACATTTTTATAAGTGTTCGTTAATATATTAAATATTCACTACTTGGTAATTTAAAAGTCATGGCAGCTTATTTATTAACCCAATTTGAGTACATTGGAAAAGTGGCATAACCCGCCTCGACCCACAATTAAACGGAGTATGCGGGGTGGAGTCGGTACTTTGCTGCCGGAGTAGGAGCGGGGATGGTATACCAATTATAAACCCGTTCCGAAATAGGAGTGGAGTTAGTATGATAAATTTTCTAACGGGGCAGAGTATGGTTTAGCCAAACCGGCCCCAACTCCTCCCTGTTTCCATCCCTATCATTTTCTACTCAAGTTTACAGCATTTCATGCATGCAGCATCCAGAATATAAGTACATTAAGTAACTTGTTACATTTGTATCTTGCTAATATATTATTGAAAAATAATAGTGACTAATTGCACTGCAGCTACCTAACCCACATTTGTAATGTGAATTTGTGAAGAACGGCACCACGGATGCAACATAGCAGGAACATCCAAATAAAATCAAACCCAATTTATGTAGACCCAGTTCTGAGTAAGTTTCATATAGGAATAGGCCTAAGAAAATTTGACTAATTTTGAGCACTAAATAAATTGAATTTACTTGTACAATCTGCTGTGTTTGAATCACCAAAGAACAACACTACGTATACTATGCATAGCACAATGATAATAAATTCTTATACTCATTGTACACCTCGTAACTCATGCCTTACTCCCTCCACTTCAACTATCACTCTCCAGAATTCACACCCGTATGAAGCATAGCCCACGCCTGCAAGTAGTTTCCAGTTTCTGAAGGTATGCAGGTGAGGAAGTTCTGATTTATAGATTAGTTACACAAACACAGCCTTCAACCATATGCAGTCAGATTCAAAAGATATGGTAAATAAAACCAAACAAAGATACAGAATTTTATACTTTCAATCCCCCATATCCTTTTTATTGAAAACCACAACTGCACATGCATTTCAGTCATAGGAACTTAATTTCTAGACAAATAATTCTGTTGTCCGTAACTTATAACATATTTAAATTGGTCAATTTTAAAACCCAAAAAAACGTTTTCATATACACAGTTGAGCGAAAAACTTAACCAAAATCAAACTCATCAATAGTATTTTCCAATAGCTCTAAGCACTATTATCTCATAACATATATATTCCCAAAACAATTGAATAGAGCTTGTTCTAGCCTTCAAATATATCTTAATTACAAAGAGCAAATAAATATGGACTCTGTGTTGAACAGATTTGGCTGTTGGAAATGAATTTCTCAATCAAATCAACTAATTAGAAACATAAAGAAGAAAAATAATCGTGTATTTGTTCGACTTACCATTGATGAGTTTGAATTTCGATCTCCTTCTCTTCAACTCATCAAAACCAGAGAACGAGACAAAGATAAACGAGACTCGGTGGGTCAGATCGGATAGAACACAGTCCTGTAGCTTTGGAATTTTAGCGAAATCTAGGAGAAGAGGAGGATGGTGATAAGAAGAAGCAAACAAAGTAATTTTTTTTCGAGGATTTTTGCTTCTGTTAAAGAGGGCCTTTTCTTGTTTCTCTCTCTAAGAAAATGTGGCGTGAGTTTATATACCTTAAAGCAAACCCAGGCTCTTTCTCTCTCTATATTAGCATCCGTTTTTTTGTGTTTCTCTCTCTAGAAGTCTGTGTGTTTGTGTGTCCAACTCTTTTTCTCTCCGTGGTCAGCTTAGTGTTGGGGGAGGGGCGCTGTTAGGACAATTCGTGGGTCTCCACACACACAGGTTGTAAGCGGCACTCAACTCTAAAACCGACATTAGACGGACTGATTTACGACAAATCGCGCAATTCTCTCGTCTTTGTATTATATGGGCTTATACTTGCTCTTAATTACGGAATCACCCCTTTTTTAATTTTAGACTGGTGAAAAAATCGAACGTTACACCAGACGTTCGAATTTTGAACTTCTGTACACTTTCAGAAATAAATACAACTTCTCTGTTGCTTCCGTGGGTGACAGGCTGACCAAATCTGAAGTTTACAACATGTTGGATTTTTTTTTTGTTTTTTTTTTTAATCCCTCGAAAAGTAACATGTTTGAACTTGTCTGCATGTGGTATTATGTTCTAAATTCACCTGCGATAACAATCCATACAAATCTGGTAGCATTTGGTCAGCTATTAAGTAAATTTGGATAGATTATATATTACAGTATCTCATTTTAACGTTTACAAATTGATTTAATTATGGTCCAACTAAATATGTTATGTTCTTTTCTTTTAAGGGAAGATATTGAGAAGTTAGATATATTTAGGGACGGAGTCATTATATGTCCAAGGGCACATGCCCCGGCCTGGCCCACTCACTATAATACATATATTAAATTTATGTATTTTTATATGTATACGTGAATACATTCATATAATACCCTCCTAAAATTTTTATTTTCTAAAATTATCTCTTAAATTTTGTATTTCTTCTCTTTGTTACTCTTTAAATTCGTTTAATTTCCTTAAAAAAAATCAAAATTTCTTTTTTAAATCAAAGTCCAATTTTTTTCTCTCATTTTTCTTTCCTTTGTAAAATTTTTGTTAATTATTTATGTTTCTTAAACGACTCATTGATTGACGTATTATTATTTTTTTTTTCTCTCATTTTCCTTTTTAAGTCAAAGTCCAATTTTTTTCTCTCATTTTTCTTTCCAATTCTCTCATTTTTCTTTCCTTTGTAAATTTTTTGTTAATTATTTATGTTTCTTAAACGACTCATTAATTGACATATTTTTTTTAGTAATTTTTCTTCTTTGTCTCTTGATTCGAATAATTTATATTTATTGTCATGTTTATTGAATTTTTTTTTTTTTTACACTGTGCCCCTGGATTTAGTTTCTGGCTCCGCCCCTGGCTCGTTATGAGTATGGTCACTCAATAAAAGTTCACCATATTAATTTGTTGAGTCAAGTTTTTATAAGTATGTGGAACCACTTCTATTGTATGGTGAATTTTTTTTAACAAGCATATCAATAATGTAATATTCTTTGGTCACCCAATATATTCTTCTCCCATTGTCTATGATTCGATAATCGTTAAACTTGAATTTTGATATTGTAACTAATAATTTGGTCTCATATAATTATTGATCCAATGTATGAAAATCATTTTTTAACAATACTAGTTAGATTAAGGATGAGAGATTTACATTTTTTTTTTCTTTTTTACCTGACAATGAGAACCAAGACAATGAGAGGGAAAAGAGATGGATGGGATGAATCAACCCTGAGCCACCTAGGAGAGTGCCATTGTCGAAGCTCACTTCGAAAAATTTACATTTTACTAATGCACTTGATGAGTAACATATATTGCAAAGTTGTCAAATAAAAAAGAATTATGGGTTAATAGAATCCTCGGATCAACAAAAACACCCCATAAAAATAATAAATAAGTGAAAAAATAAAGCACAATTAAAAGTCTTTTTTATCTTTTCAAGTGTGATGTGTTCAAGATGACGACATCTATATGTATATGCCCATGTGTGTGTATCCATCCAACTCTTTTTTTATAGTTAAATGTCTTTTTTATGAACTTGAATGTTTGATTTCATTCTACCCATGTGTGTTTTAGGAAATTTATGAGGATGAAACATCGGGCATCTTTGATTTGATAATGGAAGATTGGGACAATTAACTGTAGTGTGGAGAAAAAAGTCGGTCACTGAATAAATGGAAGAGATGTTGAACAATTCGGTAATTTTAAGCAACTTTGAGTCCATAATTCCACAAATTTTGAAAGAGGGGTGAATTTGTAATAGTACAACATAATTGGATTAAAAAAACTTGAAGTGAATTTGAAGTTTGCTGTTTTTTCCAGAGACTACAATTGGATGTCGCACACCATATGCTGGCGGATTAATATTTTAGGAAATATTTGGGAGAGAAGTTTACGTACACCTCGCTAAGACCGCCGTGGCATACTTGGGCAAAAGAGAATTGAATTTAAATAATAGAAAAAAAATACTAAGCAACCAATTAACTATCTTCTTATTTGAATATTATTATTTCGTGAAATGTGGAAATGGACAAAAGTTTGAAGTTATCACACGTCTGAGTTTAAAATTTTAGAAAAAAAATTTAATTATTTTGCCCTACAAAGTAAGAAGAAAGGCTCGAACATAAATACACCCCCTCATATAACTGCACACTCTATATACTTGTGAGCTTCAATCAAACAATATGCAATATGCAAGGATCAATTTGGTAATTAATCAGGAGTACACACTCACTAATGCAATTGCTTTAGTTGATAGTGGTGCAGACATGAACTGCATCCAGGAAGGATTGGTTCCTACTCAATATTTTGAGAAAACCACTCAAGGTCTTACCAGTGCAAGTGGAGGTAAGATGCAGATTAAGTATAAACTTAATCATGTTTTCATTTGTAAAGAAGGTATTTGTCTCCCATCTACTTTCTTACTCATCAGAAACTTGGCACAACAGGTTATTTTGGGCACTCCCTTTTTAGCCTTGATTATGCCAATCGAGAAAATTGATTCTCGTGGAATATGCTCTACTTTACATGGTCAGTCAATAACTTTTCAGTTCTTGACCCCACCAGTAAATAAGCATATCAATGCCCTTAAAGATAACATTATCTTTAAGGAAAAGCAACTGAATTATTTGCAACAGGAGGTATCCTCCTTAGCAATTAATCAACGATTGGTACAACCCAAAGAGCAACAGAAAATTGAGTCACTACGGCAACACTTTTTAAAGGAAATCTGTAGTGAGATTCCTAATGCTTTTTGGGCCAGAAAGAAGCATATTGTTTCTTTACCCTATGTAAAGGGGTTTACCGATAGCATGATTCCTTCTAAAGCTAGTCCCAGCCACATGAAAGCTGACTACTTGGAATTATGTAAGACTGAAATCAGCTCTTTAATGGCTAAAAAGCTTGTCACTACTAGCTACTCCCCCTGGAGTTGCAGAGCTTTTTATGTCAATAAAAATGCTGAAAAAGAAAGAGGAATTCCTCGATTGGTAATTGATTATCGGCCACTTAATCTTACTTTAAGTTGGATCCGATACCCAATTCCCAACATCAAAGATCTTTTAGATAGGTTACAATCTGCTGTGATCTTCTCTAAATTTGATCTGAAATCTGGATATTACCAGGTACAAATCACCGAAGAAGACAGGTACAAGACAGCCTTTTGCGTACCTTTCGGACAGTATGAATGGACAGTGATGCCATTTGGGTTAAAAAATGCTCCTTCAGAATTTCAACATATTTTGAATGACATATTTAATCCTTTTACTGAATTTTCTATTGTTTATATTGATGATATTCTCATATTCTCAAAATCAATAGATCAGCATTATAAACACTTGAAAATTTTCAAAGATGTGATTTACCGAAGTGGTTTAGTAGTTTCTGCTCCTAAACTAAAACTGTTTTTAACAAAGGTCAGATTTCTTGGTCATGAAATTTGTGATGGGAAAATTAGACCTATTGATCGCAGTATTGAGTTTGCCTCTAAATTTCCAGATGAAATCAAGGATAAAACTCAACTTCAAAGATTTCTGGGTAGCTTGAATTATATTCGAAGTCACTACAAAAATCTTGCACAGGACACCTCAATTTTGTATACCAGGTTAAGGAAATCTCCTTCCCCATGGACTTTGGCGCACACCAAGGCCGTCCAGAAGATTAAACTCAGAGCCAAACAAATTCCTTGCTTAGCTCTAGCCAATTCTTCATGGTTCAAAATTGTGGAAACAGATGCCTCCAATATTGGATACGGTGGTATTCTTAAACAGAAAAATCCAACTACAGGAACAGAGGAGCTTGTTCGCTTCACTTCAGGAACTTGGAAAAATGCACAATTAAATTACTCAACCATAAAAAAGGAAATTCTTTCTTTGGTGAAATGCATTTATAAATTCCAAGATGATTTAATCAATCAGAAATTCTTGTTACGCATTGATTGTAGTGCGGCTAAACAAGTACTGGAAAAAGATGTAAAGAATTTAGTTTCCAAACAGATATTTGCTGGTTGGCAAGCTGATTTATCTGCTTTTGATTTTTCTATTGAATATATTAAAGGCAGTTCTAATTCTTTACCTGATTTTCTAACTCGTGAATTTTTGCAGGGTTCATGAATCAGCCCCATGGGCAGGGCCGGAGTAATACTCCAAAGGCTCGTGGTAAAAAACAAGGCTAAAGCCAAAGTGGTTATACCACTCACTGATGATCAGTTTCCATATCTGGAGCATGTTGCTAATCTGCTCAAAACTCCTTCCAAAGGAAGCAGTAGTTCCCAGCAACAACAACAGAAACCAACCATGAAAGAGGTTCTTGAACAAGAAACTCCATGGATACCTAATCAAAGGTATATTCAAACAGTATTGGTACTGGATTCTCAAGATGAGCAATGGATGCCAGATCCTTGGGAAGTAAAATCCAGATATTTCCAAACTCAACAATATGCTGCACCGGATGGTCGCCATAGATATATCTATGAAGCCATTCTTACTGAAACTTCCTCTGTGGAGATTAACCACACGAAGCAATTTCCGAATTCCAAAGATAGTCCTCTTACTTATAGTAAAGCTATCTTTAAGAGGCTTATACGGCCTAGTGACTGGGGATTAAATCCCAATTTGCCAAGGAAAATATCCTATGGTCACAGTTACAATTATTGGGATTATATCTCAGCTTGGACATATTCGTTCTTTTATCAAAATCCGAAGCATAGGC